CAACTACATTAGGTAATTTATCTTCTATCTAGTCAAGTAAACCTTGACTATTTGATACTTTTACCTAAAAGAAGACTTATGCCCGTTTTCACCATCAATCCCTAATTTTTAAGTGACCCCTATGAAAACAAAATTCCTGTTATGTGTTACCATAGGGGTCACTTAAAAATTAGGGATTGACGGTGAAAACGGGCATTAAACCCTAAGCTGTTCCAATCTAAACATACATTTTCTTATCCTAATCACAACAAACTGTGGATTTTACAGTCAAACTTTCATGTCATTCTTTACATCATTGACTTTAAATGTTCACAAACCCTTTTCTCCAATTCAAATGTCAATACAACCACATAATTATAGGCAACTACAAAAGTAGCACACTTAACATTATTATAACACAACCCTAAAACCTACTTTCAGCCTTAATTCCTAAACCAATATAAACCACCAATAACGAACCCCATAACCCTGATACTTTAAGTCCCGGAATCTTATCGAATACAAATTAAGAGACTGTCCCGATATCCCATAAAACGTCCCAAAGAACCGACGTAATCAAGGTGACCTTACCTTAATAAATTGAGCCGGTGAATTGATTAAAACCATTTCAGGTGAATTAATTAAGTATCTTAATTAATAGGATATCCCGTGCCCTTATTGGCAATATTCCTTTCATAAATTTATTGGGACGCCCTTTGAGATGCGGCCTCTGATAATGACCCTGCTACATACAAAGGTATTAATAACTGTACTTAGTTAATTAATATGCATTTTATATCGTATGTAATTTAATAGCAAAATCGAATAAAATATATTAGAATAGAATTACATAAAATTATGACAAAAAAAATTATCAAAAATTCCTACATAAAAAAGCCTATACTAAAAACACTATAAGAATAGATAGGATTGATTCTCTACATAATTTGTTATAATACGAAGAGAGCAAAAATGAAAAACCGTATTGCGTTGCGTTTGTTCGAAAGTAACATCTTTATTTTTTCTTTCATAATTTCTTTTTAAATCCTGTCCTTGACAAGGATGTTTTTAAAAACATTTATAGNTAACTGGTAAGCTTTTCTGAACTTAATTTGAAACTGTTCCTGTCATAGTTGTGATTGAAATTCTAAATTCAAACCCAAAATATAGAGCTCATACATATTTCAGGAGTGGGCATCGAAAATGTTTAATTAGCGGCCCCCCTGAATCAAAGACATATTTCTGACATCGGGGGTGTTCGATATAATCATTACGAATTCCGTCGGAGGAGGAATTTGGGAAATTAATCGATTCCTCTTCAAAGGGAATACTTTTAAACTCCGAGTGCCTGTTGCGGGGCATCTGATATTATGCATATTTTACGGTGTTTTACGAATTATGTGGGCTCTGGGCTCCCTTACTCTTTGATGACTGTAGGTAGGTAATGTGAAAAGTAGCGTGTTGCAAGTATTCAAAACAAATATTGATTTGATCCTTATTGCTTTAAAATAAAATGTTTAGTAAAATTGAATATGACCTAGGACTAATAGGATGTTTGCTTACTTCAATTTCAAACTATTCAAGGTATATCGAGTAGTCTCTTAAATATCAAAATGAAAAAAAAACTACACTTTTAATATCGACTCTACCGTTTCATTATGTTACATAAATTAATTTTAACATTTTCCTATAAACTTCCCTATAATTTTTGTAAGGACTAAGGACCAAGTTTAAACGCGATCTTGGTGGTGTATCTACTTAAGTATACAGTATAGCGTTCAGAAAGTGTGTCACATAGTTATGTTTTACCGGAGTGGGTGAGGGCATGATAGCCCGAGTTTTAATAGCGACTGGCACAGGGGAGCTGTGGAGTCGCTATGGCTTATAATATTTTACAACATGGAATCAGAGATTAGACTAATGTAAGGTAGTTTTCTGTTAGAAAACTACCTGGACAATATTGTTTCTTCTTCGTCAATTAATAAGTCTATGTCCTTATAATATGCTCTATATTCTATGGAAACCAGGAAGATAATTTAAGAGCTCAAGGAGCCTATAGTTAAATTCTCAGATAGAGCTCAAAAAACGTTTAATGAAATCACAATCAACATGTCAAACATCCTCATAGTGAAGGCTTTTGAAGAAGAATACTATCTGATAGAATAATAAGTCACTCTAGTAGAATCCTTCATACATACAATATACAATCCGTTTAAAATAGTGGTAGGGCATGTATATTTAGGACGTGTATAAGTACCCTAGAAAGGGCCTATGTGCTGAATAAAATATTTGAATTTGAAAGGCAGGTCAGTATAAAATGATAACCTTAGCCATATTTCTTATTAGTTTGACTTTCGAAACTTGACACTCTTCATGTCGACTCCACGCCTCCCTTAGTCCGTCTGAAGCTAAAAGCATCTTTGTCTTACCCAAAACCCATTTTAAGGCTGCACCTGAATCCTTCATGAGTTCGATCAATTAGACGCGATCACGCTTGACGCTTTTACAAGTTAACTGTTAACACGTTCGCTTCTACAAGTTAACACATTCGCTTCGTTTTGGTTTCACGTGAATTCGTTATGAGTTTATATTTATTAGGTTTGCGGTACTTTTAAACAAGCATAGAGTTAATATCTAATAGAAAAGCAGAGTCACAAATTAATAAATCATAATTAGATAAAATCTGTGAGCTAAATCCTTAATTTGATCAAGAATAAGTACATTACGTAATTTATTTTCTATCTAGTCATGTAATACCAACTTCTTTATTTGATACTTTTACCTAAAAGAAGACTCAACCCCTAAGCTATTCCAACCTAACATACTTATATTCTTATCCTAATCATAAGAAACTGGATTTACAGACAAACTTTCATGTCCTACCATATCATTCTTTACATCATTCAATTTAAATGTTCACAAACCCTTTTCTCCAATTCAAATGTCAATACAACTACAGATACAACTACAAAAGTAGCACACTTAGCATTATTATAACACAACCCTAAAACATAATTTCAACCTTAATTTCTAAACCAATATTAACCACCAATAACGAACCCCATAACCCTGATACTTTAAGTCCCGGAATCTTATCGAATACAAATTAAGAGACTGTCCCGATATCCCATAAAACGTCCCAAAGAACCGACGTAATCAAGGTGACCTTACCTTAATAAATTGAGCCGGTGAATTGATTAAAACCATTTCAGGTGAATTAATTAAGTATCTTAATTAATAGGATATCCCGTGCCCTTATTGGCAATATTCCTTTCATAAATTTATTGGGACGCCCTTTGAGATGCGGCCTCTGATAATGACCCTGCTACATACAAAGGTATTAATTAATAACTGTATTTAGTTAATTAATATGCATTTTGTATCGATTGTAACTTAATAGCAAAATCTGAATGATGATTTGTCAAAAAAATAATTTATCAAAAATTCCTACATCAGGAAAACACCTCTACTAGAACATTATACGAATAAGTAGATAAGATGTTTTAAAAACATTTAAAATAATGAATATACAATAAATACCTCACACCAATTACATTACACTAACTACACCCCCAACTTATACGCATAAGTTAATAAACGTATTGGTACTAAATAACTACTAATAGTTGAACAATCAGCCTTAATTACGGCATTGTTAGCGAAAGACCCGACGTGTCGGCCAACCGGTCGCAAAACAAACGACGATCCGGCCCCGAGTCGGCGTATGTCGGCGAAACAAGCGAGCATCGGGCTCTCGGTGCCGCGATTTGTCGGCCAAGAGGCGGAGTTTGCCGACTAGTCGCGCCGAATATCGATTCTATACAAGATTTTCACACCTCCACAGTTGCACGTTAATTACAATTTAATATATCGCCAATTAAACCGTTGATCGGTATAACCCGGGCGTGTTCGGAGGTCGCAGGTTGTCTAGTGATGCTGGAGGGTGTGTATTTTGGGACAGAAATGCAATAATTTATGTTTGGGACAATGTAAATAGCTTTTGTGGTGCCTAGGAGAACGCTGAACGATTTATTATAAGTGTCCATCACAGTGATATTATGAAAAACAAGAAGAATAATAATAATAAAAGTAAAATCAAAATTAAAAAACTGAAATCTGAAAGACAATGAGACAATTTATTAAAGCGCTTAATGATTTTAGCTCCAGTGTACTCACATTCCTTTGGAAACCTAATCGGAAGCCTATTATCACACACAACTTGAGAAAAAGTTTATTTAAATACAGATAAGACAGTCTTACACTACAATCACACCTAATATTAAGTGAGATATATCTATAAATCCATTTGCGATTACCTATAAATGGCTAAGCAGATACATAATTTAAGGTCCCATTATTTGTATTGTATTGCTGTTGGTTTTCCGAATAAAAAAAAAAGCAATGTCCCACACAATCGGGACACTTACAGCCACAAACCCGCGGGACATTCACTCTCGGTCGACCGATCGCAGATACTGTTAGCATAGCGAATGCCCCAGGCGATGCTCACAGGTAGCAATCGTCTGCAACTGCCGGATTGCAACATTTCGCCGAATTCACAACTTTGCGACGTGCGCGATCAAATTCGATGGCAGTTAAATTTGTGCAGTTTGTATCAACGTGTTGTTACTTCTACATTTCTGGGTTGGGAAACTTTATACACATTTAGGGACAGTTTAAAACGTTTCACAACTTTGTTACTCTATATCTTTTTATTCTTATCTTTGTTATGTATTAGATCAAGAAAAAGGTATTGTTATTTTATTTTATTTTTCTTTATTCAGAAAACCACAGCTCTTTATTATAATAATACAAACAGGTATTTTTGAGGTATTATGATCTAACTGACGTCTGAATCTTCTAGCACACTTACAACAACATCATCATCATCAGATCATTTAGTTTCTACTGAAGGAGCACTACCCTCCTTAGCTCTACCTTTTCCAGGAGCAAATGGGGGATTTTCATCAAGATGCAAAGCTCTATCTCAAATTCTAACCAGCTCTGTCTTCTTGTTTCAGTATGCTCAGAGCGTTGGACCTCGGAGCGGGTGAGCGCTCACTGGAGCGGAAGCCCGAGCCCCTGCGCTCGCCGGCCATCGCGCCTCCTATGCGCGACGAGCGGAATTCGGCCGAGCGCGAGCGCAGCTCCGAACGACGCGACACCGGTACGTACAAAAGTAAATACTCAACAATGTATTTTCTTAAAGCCGTATACTCGTACGAAACAAGCGAGAGAAAGAAATCATTTTCTGAACTTGAAGGTAACCCATCATGATGAGCAGTGATTTTTATGAGTATGCGGTTTTGACCCATTGCTTCCAATCTGCTCTGATCACACCGGTATTGGTTCAGTCTATGAAGACTCCGTCCACTCCACGTAAACTAGTTTCAGTCGACCCCGGCCAGTCCAGCACGCTCGATGTATGTGTATGTCCGTAGCTAGTACGTGTTCGCTTCCTTTTCGGCGCGGAGTACGAGGATTCCCGCGAAGGATCCCTCCCCCTCCCCTCCTCGTGTTCCCGCGTAACCGTGCTGTCACCGCAGGTGCGGAGGAGTGGCCCAGCACGCCGCCGCCGCTCAACAACAACACCACGCACCACAACAACAACGGGCCGCTGCCGCTGCCGCCGCCCAGCCCCTTCCGCTTCGACGAGCACCGGCCCTACCGCTTCGCCGAAGACATGGGGCCGCTGCCGCCCGGCGCGCTCGTCGGCCGCCTCGGCGACTCCCTCATCCCCAAGGGAGACCCCATGGAAGCCCGCCTCCAAGAAATGCTCAGATACAACATGGACAAATACGCCAACACCAACCTCGACACGCTCCACATAAGCCGGAGGGTCCGAGAGCTGTTGTCGGTCCACAACATCGGCCAGAGGCTGTTCGCCAAGTACGTCCTGGGGCTGTCCCAGGGCACGGTGTCGGAGCTGCTGTCGAAGCCCAAGCCGTGGGACAAGCTGACGGAGAAGGGCCGCGACTCGTACCGCAAGATGCACGCGTGGGCGTGCGACGAGGCCGCCGTCATGCTCCTCAAGTCCCTCATTCCCAAGAAAGGTACCATCTTACACTTATTTGACGCATTTGTTCATAGCAAACCTCGAGACGACTTCGCTTACGTAATTACTTCAATGCAATTAATTTAATCACGAAATAAACCTAAACGAAGTTCTCCTCGAATTGCACTAAACGTTTTCAAAATTGGTTAGGGCAGAGCAGTGAGTCTGGCTGTTGACGAAAAATTGATCGCTATTTGTTCCCTAATTTGAATCAAGTTCTTTGCGGAGGTCACGGCTCATTGCTCCTTCTGAAAGGTGCCCAATCTTCCGACCGGTTTGGCGCGTCACCGCTATCGTAATTATCAGGCACCTGACAATAGGCCTCATCAATCAGCGACCGTCCATAGCCATCTGGGCGAGATATCGCTAACGCTTCACACTGCACGAGGCTCGCTTTAGCACTATTTTTATTTGTTAATTTTTGTTTTACTCCTCACCTTGTCCTTGTCCAGTGAATCCTAGACCTTCCTCGTTTCGTCGCGTGCGGGAAGCGTGCCCCCCGTGCCCCCTAGGGGTGGGGGACATGGTCAAGCGAGTGCCCGAGTCGTTGTATGGCGCCAATTTATCGTTTTAATACGTGCTGCTTCTGGCGAGCGCCCGCGTCTTTTATATCCGAATTATTAAGCGAAATTTTTTATATTTTGAAAAGATAAAGCCCGTTCCAGCGCTGCTTTCGAGCGGGTTCTCGTTCCGCATAATATTTATCGAGCTGGGGCAATGGGAGCCGCAGCGCACGCAGCCAAAAGAGGACAGCCGGCTCATTTAGAGCTATCATTAAGAAAACTTATAATATCTTACAAGTCATTGCAGTGTGATTATGACTTGCCTGTATTTTTGTGCAACTTTTTTGTTTTACTTACTAGCTCATGTCAAGATACTCCACAAGATTATAAGGTATTTATTTACTATCATAACATTATAATATTTAAGTTCAACAACCAAGAATGAGCACATTTTACTCGTACATAATGACTCAAGTATTTTTAGATGTCTTGAGCGATTTCAATGTTTCGCGTCTTGCTAATTGAAATCGTTACCTTTTAAGTTTATATAGGCAAAAAGTGACATTTCCGTCAACAATTAACATCCAAGTTAAAATCTGATGTTTTTTTAAGATAATTTCGACGGAAAAACTTGCGTCTTTTGAACTCAAAACATAATGATCTGGCTGTCCTCTCTCGGCTGCGGCGTCCGAAACGAGCAAGTGTGGCGAACAATGAAAAGTAAGCGGACACGCACCTAGCCGGGCACAATGGCTTAGCCGGCGGACCTAGACGAAACTCAACCCTGTGTCTAGGCAATAAAGACCACGTTACACGCGGCGGCTGCACGACGCCGATTAGCAACGCATTGTCCGAAAGACATTTGACACTTGTGCGGACCTTGGATTCGCAGCTTTGTATGGGGGCTCTGAGATAGAACTGCTGGGTGTAAAGTTAACTATCCTATAGTATGAATAGGCTGTAGGCACAATACGTTGAACTTATAGAGAGATACAGACAAAGCAACATTTTATTTCATTACGTCACATTTTTAATTTACGTTATTTAATTTTTTAACACCTATGTAGAGTCCTCTTCATCAACTTACGATACTTACTTAATTTCTTTTATAAATCCATTTCTTAATAATGCAATTTAAATTTTAAAAAATCCTTCATAAGTCAATTGATCGCCATCTAATAAAGCAATTACATAACAACCGCACACAGACCCCTTCACCGAATAAGACCGGCGCAGAAATTCGGAGGAATTAAAAAGAGCGGACTCATTGTAAACCGGTGTACACATTAATGACAATGCTGGACAAAGTATAAATCTGCGGAGACAATAGCCTGCATTAGCCTTTGTCATCGATGGGGATGAGCGGATAGATTGAATTTCAGATACCGGAGCTCTTCTTATTTCGGGTGAAATTATGCATTTGTTTTTGCGATTAGAATTCCTGGGTATTGTCCCGCTCTTTTGTAGGGTGCAAGCAATAAACATCCGAAAAAAGACTGCTTGAACTATGACTTTGAATGGTTACGCTTTGGACGTTGTTTCGTGTAGAATTGGGTTCAAAAGGGCTAGAAAATAACTTTTATATTGGCAAGGAATCCGCTTTTGACATGACTTAGTTGTCCGTTACAAAAAAAATCATCAAAAGTTTTGGATAACCTATGATTTTAGTGTAGTTTTTCTAAGGAAATTCTCAATCTTGAATCGGACATTCCTCTCGTATGTCCCACTTTCCCGTGTAAGCGTCCGGTAATAACCAGTAATGGCGGGCCCGTCACGCCACCGATAATCAGCTGTAATACGCGCGTGGGAACCCATCACTCTACGCCTTTGCGCGGTTGACAACTTCAGAAAAAAAGTAATATCAAAAGTTCAAAACGAACCTTTTTTGTCTATGCTTATGTCGAGTCTTAAAAAAAGAATTCACAATTTGCTTTTTTTTTAATGCAATACTGCCAACTTTTAAAATGTGAATTGGTAGTTTTGCGACAAAATGGTGTTGTTCTAAAGACTATTGCAAGCGATGCCAAATCCACAAAAAACATGCTGAAAACTCTTTTTCAATTCTATTATTAATTGATACAACTTTAAGTTTATTTACGAAATCTGTTTAGTTGTTTTCAACAACAATAATGGACATATTTGTATGTATACTCTACCATAGAGCACGAGCTCTATCAGTCTCAGCATTAGCAATTGTCTCAGCTTACATTAGAGGCATAGACACAAATTAATTATTACACAACCGCCCACCGGCCGATAACAGCACTTGCGGGCAATTCCATAGACCAGCGGCCGTAGTCTATGGTCTATACAATCCGCAGTATGTCATTTGCGTTGTTATGGCATCGCATTTCCACGGTTTCCCAGTTCCCACGATATATATACATAATGCATGTCGTCCTGTCCGTTTGCGAAACGATTGTACTTCGACGTTCGCACGTGATGGTTTTGAGGTTAAATGACATGTATGTGTTTTCTGTTACATACAAGTTACATTGTCGGCGTGGACAAACGAGTCTCTCAACGGACGCCGAATACATACATTAATGGGTAATTTTTCCCAAAACAGTCCAGCACTTTTCTAATTTTCAAGCAAACGTCATTTTAGATGTAACTATACTATAAAATTATATGAGTACCTATTTGTTTATAGGATGATAAATTGCTTCAGTTATCTAGATTGAACTTATTACCCTGAACAGGAGTAGAATTATGACAATATCATAACACAATATGACCGCATAATACTTAATGACCGGCAAACAGCCCCGTCCCATATTAATTACTATATCTCATCGCGTAATTACAAAAACGCATATCCCTATGCGAGCCATAGACAATAAAATCAATTACTCCACACGACCGCCCATACAATTTGTTATTAACTAGATCCGAGCAAGAAACGGCGTAAAAACAATTATGAATTAAAGTAGGAGGAATTTGTGAATATTAACTTTTTTCTGTTGGCAGACATGAGCATTACTTGACTATCGTTTATCGTAATACCCGACGCATGCAATCCTGGCTGAAATGCTAGATTCCATCGCCGGCACTTTAAAAAAAAGTAATCTTTTGGATGTAAAAGACGATGAAATTTATTTTTCTTAAAATAGGAAGGAATGTGTTTTAATTTAAAATGATACTTCCAATAGTTATTAGATTATGGTAATCAGTCCACTTTACGATACATTTCGCTACCTTCACGCACGCGAACACATCATCGATCTATCACCGTATATCAATTTTAATTCCGTTCCGGTACAATAACTATGCATTTTTCCACCCCCAAGCTTCGGTTTAAGTTAAGCGCGTTTTATTTATTCACTTAATCCTTCGGTCCAATTAACCTTAGTTACGGCTGCCATAATTATTGCTCTTATTACTTGCAACACGGTTCAGTGATGAAATGCCGGCACAAGACTTTTGCTACACTCCCCGTGATCGATACTCGATGAAACTCAACCTTATTTCGTACGAACAAAACCCCCGCATCGACATTTTAGCAGCAAATTAAATTTGCAAACGCCAACATTCATATGACTCGAAAAGACGCGCCATAAATAGATTGGAAACCATTTTAATTAACGTGTCCATTTTAAAATTAGAACGCTTATTTGAAAAAAAAAGCACGCGACTGGCAGGTTTTATTTAAAAGATAACCACTATTCAGCAAAACGCCAATCTTTATTTCGATCGTGACGTCAGCGCGTCAAAATGGAAATGACAGCTGTCAGTTCCGCTTACGCGTTCGGATTTAGTGGGGTTTGAATGGTTTTCAATAGTTTTTCGTGAGGTGGAGAGAAATGTTGGCGGCAATATTTGGACAAAGTTGGCCCCTCGGAGCGGCCGAGGCGTGGAAATCTATTTTCAATGGGCACTATCGGCCGGCGCAGGACACGCTTTACGCCCGAAGTTGGGCGTTGCTCCTTCGCCGCCCTTGTAGTGCTCTCGACGAGCGTTAAGCAAATTTTAATATTCAATTGTGCTCGGATTTGTCGAGCGCTTCAGATTTTGTATTAGGACTGCTCTAAGCGATTAGTGTTAAGTGTGCTGATACGAAGTTGGCGAAAACGGTTGTTTTGTTCTGTTCAGAGTTTCGGCGGTTTGATTTTGTATTTTGTCTCTCATTACTGTAAATGGGCTTGTAATTAACCAATTTAGTCCGATTGAAATATGAGTTAAAGACTGGAGAATAGATGGAAAGAGCAGTTGCAAGTTGTGCTTAACACAAGGACCTTTGTCTGTGAACATGCGAACTTATTAAGTACGCAAGCCCCGCGCGAGAGCAATAAGTTATCGACGTGTCCGGCAGCGCGTCAGAAGCGTTTAGAAGACTTAAACTGACTTTAGGGCTACACACACTATGGAGCGAAGCGAACTGTCACATAGAATTCAAGCTATTTTGAAACGTCAAGTGGCAAAAATCAAGCTAACAACACGTATTGATAGGAGCGCCCTCCTGACAATGTCATAGATGGGGACGGTTCAGTGTTGA